TATAAGGGGAGCCTGTAGCTCGTCCCACTCGTGCTAGTTTCTAGTACACTCTACCCACTTCAAATGAGCCGCCAAATACTTTACCAGGGGTATCAGTGGCGTTGCCAGAAAATATTTGCGGGTGTGTTTCAAGGTGCTAATGCAATCACGCGCACAATAACACACACACACACAGACACGCACACACAAATATACATATATATATATACAAGACGGGCACTTCACGTCATCGTACGTGGTCTCCGAGGAGGATATAAACGAATATGTGCAGATGAATGAACCGTACTTAATCCAAGGAATCAAAGAATTAAAGTTTTCAGGAACCCGCCGAAAGCCAAAAAACGGCGGAGCCAGGATTTGAACTCTGGGCCTCCCAATGTCCGGTCGGGTGTGCTAACCTCTACACCACGTACGATGACGTGAAGTGCCCGTGTTGTATATTCAATAACGTGGCTCTTGATTCTCGCAGATGATGATGATACCGTGTCTCTAAAAGCTCATAAACAAAGAATACTACATGTACACGGGGCGAGACAAACAGTGGGAGGATTTCTGGAGCACAAACGAGCACGTACCACGGGACACTAAGCCTCGTACCGCGCGCGTTCCACGCGGCGGCGTGTGTTTCCAGAACACCTCCGATTGGACACATTTCGTTTCTTGTGCCTTAATAAGACAGGTAGGAAACGCCAGAAAGCCAAGGTGGAGTGGTGTAGAGGTTAGCACACCCGACCGGACATTGGGAGGCCCAGAGTTCAAATCCTGGCTCCGCCGTTTTTCGGCTTTCGGCGGGTTCCTGAAAACTTTGATTCTTTGATTCATTGGATTAAGTAGGGTTCATTGATCTGCACATATTCGTTTATATATATATATACTATATATATTTCGTTTATATATATATTTTACGGCCGAAACGTCGAAGATTAAATCGTCCGTTGTTGCTGTTTTTCACTAGGGGTTTTTTTCTTCTCAGTTTTATACCCACGCCTTCGGCCTCCCGCCACCATGCCCGTTATATATATATATATATATATATATATGTAGAAAGTAAAATTTCGGGGAATGTTCTGCTGACTCCTGAACCCCCCCCCCCCCCCCCCCCCCTGAGGGGTATACAGGAAGCTCTCCTCAATTGCATTGGACAGAACGACGGCCGCGCCGAATCATCTTGTGGTGGAGTGTTTTATGTGGCGGCACCTCTCCCCCCACCCCCTCCTCTCGCCGCCAGAGCACGTGATCAGGCGACGTCTCGAAATGCGATGCAGTTGACATGATCGCGGATGCGAAGACGGCATCGCTGCTGCCGTCATGTGTGTTTTTGGCCGTTCTTCGTTGTAGAGTTTTTTTATGTATTCTAGGGGAATGTCCTGCATTCTCTTATACTCCGTTTCACTTTATGTTGTTCCGCAGACAAGGTTAGAAGCGCGAGCTCATAGCATTGGGAGCTACTCTTAGCGCGCGAAAGCTTGTACCGCCGAGATCTGCCCCAGAGCAAGGAGCTCGCGCTTGTAGCCTTTCCTGCGGTACATCATAAGGTGAAACAGAATATAGTAAAGCATTTGGACTGCTTTACACACCCTAGCCACTGGTAGAGGCACTCTACCACTGGCTAGGGTGCCTACATGTCTGTCTATCTCAGGGTGAAGACATCCATTGTTGCCTGAATGTGCCAGCGCGTGACGCTCTCGCGCACTCGGTGCGTGACTTTGGCGGTAAAATGGCGTCTATGCATTAGCCAAAGCTACGCGCCTGAGCTGAGTGACACCGGATTGCGCGCACTTCAAAACGCATAAGAAAACGATTGGGCGGAGAAATGGCTGAGTTGGCACCACTCAAACAAAGGCGCGCGTGTGTATGAAGGCACTCTACCACTGGCGGAAGCTTTTGGCCCTCTATTGATGGTTGGCCGAAGATTCCAGGTTTCGTAACTATTAGCGGCAAGTTGTTCTGGTGGCGCCCTCCAATGGTTCCGTCTTGTGACGTCATTACCTTGTGAACAACAAGTTCGATGGTGTTTGTAATTAGCATGGTGGAAGCTTGAAATCATTGCGCTCTAAAATCAACGCTGCCAACACCGTCAAAATTGAAGTACTTACATTTTTCTTATTTTCGCCGATGAGAAATCCTTTGTTGACGTCATTCGGCCAATCGCGGAAGGTCGACCGCAGCGACGCTTTCGATTGCGCGCACGTCGCCAATACTCGGGGCCAACTTTCTGTGCCATTTTATAAGTGAAGAGTGCGCGTGCACAGCTTTCATCGGCGCTCAAAGTTATACGAGCGCACGAGCACTCATACCTTTGGCTTCATTGCCACAAAAAGTTTTCCCCGAAGTATCCGCCACTTCAGCGCGTCGTTCGCCCTCTCGCGGACGAACGAAGAATCAAAGGAGCGGTAAGGGCGGTGCCCTACCGAAAAATCCGGTATAACTTTCCCTATCCGGAATATGGAACCGGAAATTTGTTACTGGAAACTCGAAATCCAGATTGCAGACAAAGGAATAATTTCTGAAAACCTAAATTCCAGATAAAGTCCAGATAGAATCCAGATAGATTTCCGGTTCCATAATCCGGATAGCGAAAAGTTATACCGGATTTTTCGGTAGGGTGGCAGGGATTGTCAGCCTTGGTGCTGCTGTTACCGTATACGGTTCTGGTCGGCGTGTTCATGCATCGTACAGTTTTAACGAACAAAGCGAGTGCGTTAAAATAGGAATGGTTTTGCTGCGCTCCGCAACTTTTAAAAATTAACATGTTCATTTTCTTAAAGGGTTTCTGCAACTAAATTCTCGAGGTTATTTTATTGTCTAAATGTCAACCACGTTCAGGCTATACCACAGAGACACTCATTTTTTGTTCGAAAATACGCCAAAACAATTTTGAAACCGAATAAATAGATTATCAGATTGCACCTGGTGGATGTTGTCGAATGTCGTTATGTCAAACTTCCCATAAAAACATCGCCGCTCTGCGGAAGGTCGGCGGGAAGCCGTGGGCGCGCGAGCCCTGTCAAACGTGGCTGAACCGGATTTCCTGGCTTCTCTGCCGCGCCTATTCAACAACCAAAGGTCAGTCTCTTCTCCGCCTCCACTGAACAGCCATCGGAAATCTCAAGCAGCCATGCTTTAACGCGTTGGCGCCACCAAGTGGCGAAGCTCACAACCACGTCAGCCTCCCTGTAGCTTTCCCCGTGAAGGTGAACATGACGTCACGACCGTGCTGGAGGCGCCGGATCTCCCGAGACGCATCACGCTCTCCGATGGCTGACCTTCGAGAGCTCGCTCCTGTCGACCGTTTGGAACGAGAAATATCCCCACAAGTTAAAAATACGAACGCGCGATGGTCATTAGCAGACTTTGCTCATCATGTTTAACTCGCATCTCAACGTAAACGGTATATTTGAATTTTCATTTCATTTCATTTTTTGTTCATACACCCTACAAAAGACATGGTGTTCGCTGCATACATGATGACAGAATTACCTGCGGATGCCCCTCAAGCATGATTCTGAAGCATGTTTGCTTTATACATGCGTACGCTTCGGACATATGCCTGCAGACAGTCTTTCTATGAGGAATGTGACAGGATGGTTATACAAGGAATAAACATGCCTCAGACATTGTTTTCCGACTGCCTTTTGTATGGTGTATTATCAGTGTAACCCCGGCTTCAGGCCGGAGTCAAACTGCTAAGGCCCTGTCACATTGAGGAAACACGGCGGAAACATGAACAAAACATGTTTCTCAACAGTCGGGAAACATGTCGGCTGTCGACTCTGTTGCCCGACAACCCTGTCACATTGAGGAAACAGCAACACAACATGGACGACAGCGACAATGTTGTCTCGGTGTGGCAGCTTTTGGCAACGGAAACCTCGACAACTTGTGTCGGACGACACGTGTTGCCCATTTCGGTGGCTGAGCGAATTTTTTTCCAGCAACACGGCAACATCTATATTTTTCTGTACAGATAGTCGCACGAGAATACTTCGATAATTGACAACTCAAGCGTGAAGGGCCATTTTGAACGCGGCTTCTTGCGCGGCGGCAGCTGATCGTCAGAATCATCTGAATCGATGGCACCAAGAAGCACCAAAGCAGAAGCTGCTGCTGTGGCCGGCGCGTATGCCATCGTGCAAGGGTCTAGCCCTGCAGCAGAACGCAACCGCCAAATCCAGAGAACACGAGATGGTTCGCGCGGCTGATGAATCGACTACGGTAGAGCGACGTCGATGAGACGGCGATCCAAAATGGCAACGATTCAAGGGGCGAGCGGAGCCAGCGGATCTGAGCCTAGCCGCCTATACTTCGTTTCAGCTTCGGTCCAGACGCAGCCAATGCTACAAGCGCGAGCATCTGGCCCAGAACAGTGCTTGCACTGCACGAGCGCGCGTGCTTGGCAGGGATGCTGAAAGCCCGGAGCTCGCGCTTGTAGCTTAGCCGAGCCGGCCGGGAAGACGAGGGCGAGAGAGAGAGGGAGGCAGCGCGCAGGAGAGGAGGCAATTTGTGTTCTTCCAACACGCTTTCTCGGTGTGACAGGATGTTCCCCGAGTGTCGGAGAACAAGTTGGGAAACATGGTTTTCGGACGACAGCAACATGTTTCCGGACTGTTGCTGTTTCCGCAATGTGACATGGTCCCCGAAAACATGTTTTCCTCGTGTTGAAGGACAAAGTTCTCCGACTGTTTCCGCAGTGTGACAGAGCCATTATAGATCATAAAAAAGACAGTCTGCAAACAGATTCGAACGCGACTCACCACGAGATTCGTGCTTCGAGTGCCGCATGGCAACGAGTTCAAGGAGGAACTGCACGCTGCGTTCGAACCGCGGATGAGTGATGTCTGGCAGACTGTTGTTTGTATGATATATAAGTAGTGTTACCCCGGCTTTCGAGTGTTAGTACACTGACACGCTAGTTTACGACATCGAGGGTGCAATTTTTTTATTTTTTTTTTTTATAGTTTGTACGTTATTCTTGAGGAGCCTGCCCTGCTTCGATGCAGGGTCCAGCTGCGTGCCGGGGCCCTTGGGCTTGCTCGCCGGCGGCCTTCAGGAGTGGCAGCTGAGTGCCAGCTCAACCCGGATGCCCGAGTGCCAGCTGAGGTTCTCCCGCGTGCTCGAGCTACCTTCCAAGGGCGCCTGGTGCCCCGCCAGGGACGCCGACACTGAATGGATACAGGTCGACCTCGGCGCCGATGCCAGGGTGAGGCACCGAGACGCGCGACATGTGCTTGGAAGAGAAACAAGCTGCGGCACCCTGCGCGTGCATGTATTCCGGTATTGCTGAGGACGGGGCATCGAAAAAGAGAAAGAGAAAGGAGAGAGGGAACGTTGTTATCACGTCCTGGATTAAGGAGCGACGCCAAAGGGATTGATTTTAACGTTGGGTTTTATTCTAACTGCTCACCGATGCTCAAGCTTGGGCACGCTTTGGCTGCCCCAGCTCTTCTCTGTAGCACTACCCCAACCGCATAATTAAAGGGCGAGGAGTGAAAATTTCCGTAGCTCCGTTAAATGAGGTAAATACGGGTTGGGAGATTTTGATTAGAGTGGCATGGACGATGTCGGTTGAAGTTTTGCCACGGTGAGTTGGAGAATGTTGGGGCTGCACTTGTTTGTTGAGGTCTGACACCTTGGCGGTGATGTGGTATGGCAGGACGTAGCAATGGAGAAACTTGATGGCTTGATCTTGGTGCCGACGTGCTGTCCATAGCCACACAAGATCACCAATAGACTACTTCCATAAAGCCCTGCATGCAACACGGCGCGCGTTGCACTCTGGGAACTAGTTGGCCAGGGAGGAGTGTGGCATGGTTTCGGTTTCGATCGACACGTCGACAAGAGATTACACACAGAGCGTGGACTATTAACGGCCGTTATCTGATGTTTTCTGGTCCCGAGAGCGTCATTTGTGGTCTCTGAACTAACCTAAATGGCCAGACCTCGAAGCTTTAGCACAAGCCCGAGACGTATAGCATGTCTTAACACAGGCTTGTTGTATTTTTGTACTTGGGCCTTTCTGTTAGCGTTTCGAGGTATGTGGACGAGTCAATGCTGGGTATTTTGACGCTGCGAAGCTCGGGGATCTTGCTTGTGTACGAATCAACAAGCTGTAGCAACCAATAAGTATGCATACATTGAGCTCGAGCCTTTACATTAGCACTGTTGATCAGGAAGTAAGTTTGTTTGTTTTCGTGAGTCAATAGACGAAATATAATTTTTTGCAATTACTGTTTTTCTTAATACATCTGAGTACGCGAGGTAAAACTCGGAGGCGCCATTGAAAAGCTCAATTATAACACCCTTCTTATCTCTTATTTGTACTGACCCGCAGCACTGCACGAAGCGAAGTCCCCACCCGCTTGCATTTTACTAATATTCAACATCGCGTATGCGCATAACGTTATCCTGCAATTGTATAGACGCATTCCCACACACAAACCGTTTTAAGAAAGCAAGAGTCGAGCGCTTGTGTGAAAAATGCCGCACCGTTTGCCAGAAGTACGCCGACGGGCATGAACCTTTATGCGGTGCGCCAAACGAACGAAATTATTCAAAGTGCATTTGACGTTTGCTAATGGTCATCATGTTTGTTATGTGTTTGCTTTCTTCCTGCCTAAGTATGCCGAAATCATTTCAGACACACCGTTCAGGCACAGATCTTGGACGTCAGTAAAAGCTCGTCTAAAAAGGCTTAGGGAGGACTAGGGGACGCTTGTTAGGGCCTCCGTCGTAGCTCGCCGATCTCAGCGTTTGCGAAAACTTAATCTTCTATCAGCATAAAATTTGAGTGGGGGATATATGATGACATGCGGAACACATCATAGTAACTTTGGTGCAGTAGTAAGGTCGAATTTATTGCGTTTCTTTAAAAGTTCATGCGTCAACGCTGGGCTCAATTTTGATACTCCTGTGAGGATGCGGTTTGCTTTTCGCCCAATTAAGTAACCAGAAGCGGACGTTTGGCAAACAAAATACGTGTAAGGCTCCAGGTGACCAAATTTCAGTTGTAGCTAACTGGTACTAGACGGGATTATTGAAATTGAACTCAAAGGTGAGGTGACTAAGCCACGTCTTACTACGTTTGCATACGCACTCATAATATCTGGTGTTTCGGGAACCAAGAAATGTGTGCCCGGTCTTCGTTTTGTATCGCTCGAGAATGAGTGTATTGTACGTTTGTGAAAAGTCAGATAATCGAAAACGCAAGCAGCGCGTTCGGTCGCGGCGCGATAGCATGAGATGGAGCTGCTCAGTCGAAACCGAAACTGAGTGGCCAACTAGTTCCCAGAGTGCACTGCGTGGTATTTTGCCGCGATGGGGCGCGTCGGTTTTGGAAGAAGTCCATTGAGTAGGGCACAGTTTGACGAGCCTCAGTATACCGCTGGCATTGGTGCTGTTGTGAGGCTCTTGTGCGTAACCGGACGAATTGTCGCGCCTCTTCGGCACGGCGGACGAGCTGTGCCATTGTTTCCTCCAGGGGATCATCATGATGGTTATAAGCAAGCAGGGTGTCGAGACGGGTTGTTGGGGATAAATTGCAAAAGAGAAACAATGTTGTATCCGTGTGTGACCTAAGAGCAATGTTGTATGGTTGGTCGGCCCTTTATCACTCCTCAACTTTCGAAACGATACATTGGTCACAATTCATCCCTGAAATGCTTTCACGTGAATGAACAATCAGCCGGAAATAAAATGTCTGGCGGCGGACGAGCTGTTGTTGAACCAATTGTTTTTTACTATTTGAATGCGGCCATGTTCACACAAACTTGGTATTTAGATGATGACCATGCCATTTTTTGTCGGATTATATGCCTACTTTTTACCGTATCCCTCGGTGTGCAGGGCGTTGCCATTCTGACTAGGAAAAATCCTTGTTGCGTAAAACTGAATATTGAAGGTCGGTTATGGCGGCGCCCATGCACAGCTACTGCAAAGCGTCTACATCTATGGTTCATAACGGGCTAGGAATTCAGAGCGCGCTTCGCCTCCAGCTAGAGTTTTCTGCCTGGTAACACTTCGTCGCACGTGCGGCCGAAACCCCGTGAAAGGCAACAAGCTGGTGCCGGAGGCGGGACTTCTACTGATTTCTTAGCCTGTCGCCGACTCTGGAGGGGTTTCTAGCTATATCAGATTTTGCCCGAGCTCTCTGTCATAACTGCGTTGAGCCTCTGGGACGTGACTGTATGACCTCTTTTGTTTTTATATTGTCTTTTTATAATTAGTGTTTAAGAAATATGAAGGTGAACAAAACTCCAAACTTGGAGCCCCATTCATGGACATACGCTAATACTTTATTAGATAGCTTTTTGTTGTTCTGTTTCGAATCATTTTGTGGCGGAATGGGAATCATTCTTTCTGTTATGTACCCAGAAGTCATACCACCTAGACGAGAACGCCCGCGCGCGTGACGTCATTGTTGGCGGATCCCTGCCCCAAGCAGCAAATTCGCTGAAGCTCTACGAGAACACGCCTTAAATCGGCAGACGTGTGCGTCTTGACGTCGCTGTTTTCTAGCGTCGTCAAGACGCACAAGCAGCACGTTGTTTGGCCAAGCATTGGCCAATAGCTGTTTATGGTCGCTAGGCCATGGCCAAAGAGTGGCCATTCATCGGCCAATATTTGGCCGATGGCTGGTGGCCAGTGGTCATTGGCCAATGGCCAGAGAGAGGCTAATCATTGGCCAATGGCTGGTCACTGTCTGGCCACTGGCCAAAACACCATTACCAGCTATTGGCCAATGATTGGCCAAAGCTGTGCTGCTTGGGACGCTAACTCGAGTTGTGGCGCTGCGTAGACCCACTAGAGCTGACGTTGGGGCAAAAGGCGCAGGCCTCATCTTCTAGGTACTATGAAGAGCGCGAGTTTGTCTGCTTATTTTGCAGGGGTTGTGGTGACGTCAGAACACCGAACTTTGATTGGCTCTGCTTCCAAGATTCTGGGTAAGCCTCAAAGTAAGCTGCCCTAGGGTCTACCCACTATCCTTCAATCAGATCCAAGCAGAGCTCGGCGTTCTGACGTCACCACAACCCCTACAAAAGGAGCAGACGAACTTGCGCTCCGCATTGCCTGCAGCATGTGAAAGAGCGCCTCTCGGTCAGACGTCTGAGTTTTGACTATCGGCATACACTGCCATTTATGTTCGCGGTATGTCACTGTACTTTGCTGTAATTGGGTGCTGGCTGAACCGAGAGCTACAGAGAGTGGTATTAAAATTGAAGAGAAAAACATTTAGATATTGTGGTAAGACCTAACCATAAGTTCTGATTCACGGGGCCGTCGCAGCTCCTTGTGTACTTAAACTGATTCTGCCCTGTGTATGTTCAGACTGTGAGAAATTAGTCAGCCCCAACTGACATATGTTGTCTCCATTGTAGCTAAGAAATTTAGCCAGTGCAGTACGACTGCTAGCCTGGGAGTGTTTAACGTGCAGCACGCAGTTGGGATTACACGAACACACATGGGTACGATGATAATGAAGGCCGAAACAGGCAGTGGTGTGGACAGTGGTGGGGATTCAACTCTAGAGTGCTTGAATTTAAAGCTATTGTGTAGAAACACGTGAGTGGGTAGGCGTTACTTATGATGGGTATGACGTCACGGCAGGTCACAGGCCTGCTGACCCAGGGTCGAGGAGACGGCCGCGAGTGGGTGTCCTCCTTCTCGGTGTCCTACAGCATGGACGCCTTCCACTGGAAGCACTGCCTCGACGCCAACGGACACCGAAAGGTGAGGCCCGTTTTTCCACACTTATAGAGCCATTCACAGTAGCAATTGGCCTGTCTCCTTGGGTTAAAAGTACAGTGATATCCCAGTAAGCATTTTGGTGCTTACAGAATATTACAAATGATGTCAACAACTGTTTGAAGCTTGCCACTTGACGTAGAAGGCGGTATGTCAGTTGACGCCTTCGATCAGGCGCTCTTGGGCTGCTTGCTCTTGATGAGAGAGTAGGAAGCGATGGGAATTCATTTTCATCCTCTAACTGCAGTGTAGAGTCCAGATTTTTTATGTTGATAAGTGCCTTGTTTTTCTTTTTCTTTTTAATAGTTTGTTCTGTCTTGATGAAGAGTGTTGGTGAGCATTGGTTAATTTTTCTTGCAGTTGATGAGCTTTCAGATTGTGTTTTGTTATCGAAACGTGTGTTTCAGGATATGCTTCAGTTTGTGGCATCTTCGAGCACAGTATAGATTGTCTTACTGTTGTATAACCAACATTTCCTTCGCTCTTGTACTTGTAATTGTTTTATTTTCTTTGGTATGCTGGACATAGAGGAGATGTTGAGTTGTGAACTTCGCCGCAGTTTGAGCAAAGTAGGTTGTTTGCGTCGCACTTGGTCTGATCATGAGAACCGCTGCATCGTGAGCATCACTCCTCCTTTGTGCATTTGGCTCGAATATGCCCAAAGCTGTTACGTTTCGAGCATTGGTGAGGTTTTTCAATGTGCGGCTGTATTACGTACCGCGAATATTCGTGAGTGACATATTCAGGTAAAGCGTACGTGCGAATGACGACTATTAGTCTCAGATGAGCCTAGTCGACCAATGGAGCTCACAGGTGCTGTTACACGAACACCCACTTGTAGTTTTGCTTTGGTGATGTCTGCCGGTACCCTGTGGATCACTCCAGCTGCCGATTCGCGTGGTGGAGAGTCGTAAGCTTGAACAGAAATTCCTCCGATAATTGTGAGTACCAGGTAAGCTTTCGTGGCATCACCCCTCTAGTGTCTATTGCCAGCACGTTCAGTCTACGATATATGACCGGACCAGGGTGACTCCGTCTGGTGCAGACATTTCCAGCTTCCCTTTGTATTTTATGGTGTTAACTGCTGTGATAATAATAATAATAATAATAATAATATCTTTATTTCCATCAATTTTGATGGGGGAGCCCGAGGAAAAAAGCTGCGATATGCAGCTTGACTGGTCCTCGGTCCCCTTACAGTGGTCAGCGGCAAGCATCAGGAAACAAAGATGAAAATCACGTCAACTAGCAGCTGCAGGTATTGTTAACAGAAAAACAAAACATATAACGCTTTATGAAAGGAATGCATTATGTACAAAAATATTCACGCAAGTCTTTGAAAGTCAAGTTTTCAAGAGAAACATTACTACTGCAAAAAGTATTTAACAAATTTGGAAGAGTAAATTGGAGCATCTGAGAGCCATAGTTCGTTCGCTGGGTGACCATCTTCCACTTCTCCGCATGACGAGTAGAATACACTGGTGAATTTTCCTCTAACAATGCAAGATTTTCTAGGAAACATGTGCCCTTTAATCTTTCACTCTTAAAACTGGTACAAAGTCGATACGAATACAATTTATGAACATCAATTATCCTATAGGTTCTAAATAATTCGGCAGTGTGAAAATCAAAAGGCACATTACCTATACCTCTGAGTATTTTCTTTTGCCATCATCTTGGATGGGCCCTGGGGCTTGAGTATCACCTTGAGATGGGGTTGCCGATTATTCGGGATCAGAGCTTTATTGCTCACTTTAAAGTTGACAAAATCTTTATGTCGCTTTCGGCCTTGCGTCAGCTAATAATCAGGATCTTCCGGATCATCAGGAATGCTCTCGCAGTATTAGATGATGTTCAATGCGCTAAACCTACCCGCTGACTTACCTTCCATTTCGATTTGTGACGTATCTTGGGCAGAGGAACGACTAGCCCTGGTCAAAATAGGTGGTTTTTCTCCCAAAAACCGCATAATATCTTGTGTTAATTTAGCCAGAAAATTCAGACTTCATTAAAATCCAAAAATATTGGTACTATTTTAATAGCAGCAGTAATGAATCAAACTTCTTCCCTTTTTTGTCGTATAGTTGTCGCCGCAGGGGTGTCGTCGTAAGTTGTCGTCATAAGTGTCGTCGTAAGTTGTAAGCTGTCGTCGCAAGTTGTCGTCGTAGGTCGTCGACGTCGGTCATCGTCGTGGTTCGCCTTCATTCGTCACAATTTTCCATCGTTTGATGTAGCTCGGCGTGGCTGTTGATCATCACCCGTCATTCTTCTCGTCTTGCCCCACTTTCGTTTGTAATCCACCCCGAATGTGTTCGTTGTCTTCTGCACGGGAGTGTTGAGCGTGGGTAGAAGTTGCCCCCGCTTTTCCTCCAGAATTTCACGAATGAAAAATGATCGACTAATATAAGACTGAAATAAACTTTAAATGGTGTGAACTTGCGCCTACGAACTTAAACAAAAAGAAACCGTACATCGTGCAACGACAAAAATTGAGCGACTGTCTCGAAGCAGCGCGTTATCGTTGCTCTTATACACGCAGTAAGTTCACGATTGTTCACAACCAGAACACATGCTGACATTCGAGAATGATCTGAAACTTTCCAGAAAAGCACATAATTATAAAAAAGAACGATTCGGGTCGAGCGGTGTTCGAACCCGGTTCCTCCGCGCGGCAGCCGCATTCGTTGCCAACTCCGCCACGCTCGTGGCAGTAGGGAGTTTTACGGAACCGTTTTTGCACGTCCGTTACGGATGGGCCCTCCGGTACGAACTGCGCATGCGGTACTGCAGAAGACTCCTACACGCACAGTTAGTACTGGAACGCCAATCGTACCGTATCGAATGTGAAAAACGGTTCCCTAGAACTCTCTAATATCACGTGACAAGGCGCCCCGCACGTCACTGCGGTCCTCCCGAAGGCCGCACGACACTCAAGACGCCACTAGATTAGCCGGAATGACTTGTAGCGCCCTCTGAGGTCCATTGTAAGGTGAAACAAAGTACTATTCGGCGAGTAATCGTTCCAAAATGTGTCTCGGGCGCATACATGAACACAATCAAAACGCAGCAAGAGAAGGCGCATAGAAGGCGCGATGGCGAGGCAGCCAAGCGCGCGTCGCCATTGTTTGAGGTCGGTGGGAAACAATAGCACGTGGGCGCGTCAGGCAAACAAACGCACGAGGGGCGCGAGGAGCAGTCCAAGTAAACCTTAAGGGCTGTTTATACTCCGACGTTGAGCGCAGTGAACGCAGCGTAGCGCAGAACGCGCGCCCTCCATTGGCCGGTGGCCAGGAACTCGATTTCTGCGACCAATCAGTCACTGCGTGCGCTGCGCTATACGCCGCGCCAGTGGACGTTACGTTGAAGTATAAACGTGCCTTTACTTGCTGTATTGTGTCGGAGGGTGCCCGAAGTTTGCAGACAAACACCCTGCAGGAACGGAGGCGGAATGCTAAGAGGTTGCCGCCATCCTGGCATTTTTCCGTAGAAGTGCCGGCCCAAAAATATCTGCCGACATATATATATATAAGTGCGGGAGTTTCTATGCACAGCAATCTACAGCAAGACAGGCGTCTGTCGTGGCTACCTTTGCTCCGCCAGGGTCGTATAGCGACCGGCAGAATTTCACGGTTGCGAAGTATAACAAGTTGTAAATGAAGGAAATAAGCTGCATACGCGATGAACATGCCAATTTGAGGAACGTTCCAGGCACCCTAGTGGAGAAGTGTATTCAACGTCGCACATCCGTTTCTTTCTAAATAAAAAAAAAAAAAGATTCCGCAATAATTTCACATCGGGAGTAAGCCCTGAAATTCGCTGCTTATCTAGATGTGACAGATACAGCCAGACGTAGAGCTAAATTTAGGTAATTTCAGAAAACAAATTACGTCTTTGCTTGAAATTGTTTACCGGTAGACGACCTTGCTCAAACACTGTCTCTTTCATAGCATAAACTAACGGACAGACCGTTTCATTGGTTCGATTTCACATCTGCCAGATCGCAGAGCCATAGCCGCTAGACTATAGAAAGAGTTAACGTTTTGCCCAGACGACCTAGCTGGCTTTCAAATTTCACACACTCACTCAGACACAGCGTTCAGGCACCCAGTGTACAGAAGACACGACGTTTAGAGGAGTTTGCTTGAATGTCCTTTGACTGTTGTGTATGGTAAGAAGAAAACGGCGAACACCTAAAGTAAGTTTGACTGCTTTATACATAGGTATGCTTCAAACATGACTGCAGAAAATTTTTGTTTCACCAATGTGACAGGATTGTCATACCAAGAGACATGCCCTAGACAGCATATATACAGACTGTCCATTGTTTGATGTGTTATCGAAGTGTCACCGCCGCCAATACTTCCTTGTCTTTGGACAGTCTGTTTCACTCTGACGCTCCCTCTTCGCTGGTCCTGCGGTCACGTAGGTGTTCCTGGGCAACAGCGACTCCCACAGCCTGAAGCTGAGCTACCTTGATCCTCCACTCCAGACCCGGTTCCTCCGGCTGCACGTGCTCCAGTGGCACGGCAGGCCTAGCCTGCGCTTTGAGCCCCTCGGATGCCAGGGTACACCACAAAGTCTTCGACAGTTATACTTCCTTTCACTTGAAGTCCGACAGCAGCCGGTGTGCGGCGCTCGATGCTTGTGGATTCGCTGTCATCGGGGAAACCAGTGACGCGCAAAAAGAAAACGCAGGAGGGCGGTTCGTTCACTTTGCGAGATTGGTTTAGGGGCTTATAGAAAACGCGCAAAGGCAAAGACAGCAGCGACGATATTGATGCACTGATTGGCGCCGACTGATTGGGTCCATCTAATTTCAGCATCGGCTGTTGTCGGACATAAAGTCAAACGGAGTATATAGCTATAGCCCACAAATGTATTGTCTCGCGGTCATTGCGTTAAACACAACACCGCCATGGGTGCTCATAGTGCGCTCTTTTTAGCTAACACCCCCGCCAGATGCGTCTGACAAGGCTTAATTTGTGAACCGGGAGCGCTTATAGACCTTTCTAGCGCTTATCATCTGTGTTACAAAAATATGTCGCGTCACATGGCTGTAGACGCGTGTGCTACGTTTGACAGCTCTCCGAAGAAGGTACCTGCAGAACGCGTTTCCACTAACGAAGGTTGTAGCTCTCAGAAGGTGATTATTAAAAGTGTCTATACACCAACACACTGTTTACAAACAACTTCACGTTTGCCCACATCTGGCGTGGGTCCTGCGCGTGCGCACAAACCAGATTCCGTCTGCGCATGCACAGTGCCGACAGTAGCGCCACCGCTGTGGAATGACGTTAAAGAGTTCAGTTAGCCTATAGATGACTCGAACGTGACATTATTGCCTTCATGCTGGTGGTCATTTCTGCGCGTGTTCATGACGATGGAAATAAATTTCCAAGGTGCGAAATGCCCGCTCTAAAAGATTCGCGCTCATCAGCAAGGTAACCGCAATGGCCGCTGGCGTGACATAAGTGCAAGCCATGTATTTCATTTGCATGATACAGCTTCGTTTCGTGCTACCGAGAAGCTCGTTCTGTAACAGATTGCCAAAGTTTCATGTGAATGCGATGTGTGATGCTGTAGTGCCCGACTCGTGTTGAACTCTGCTGTCGATGTCAGCTATGTGTGTTCGGGTAGATTCGCTGCATCCTCGTTAAAGCGATTGGCGTCGGTGTTTCTATCAGAGTGCAACCAGGTGCTCTCGGTGCCTCCGGTGTCCCGGCTGACAGCGTCCAGCTGGCGTCCCTGGCACCCCCAGCAGGGGTCCTGCAGCCCGGACGAGGGACAGCTCTTCAGCAAGGGGGGCTGGTGCGCACTCAGGAACAATGGTAGATTCCACCGCACTACATGAGCATAGACAGCAAGCACCACGTGCTTTTGTATCCCTCCGACCTCAGCCAATGACAGTGCCCGCTTTGCAGCCTCGTCATTGCGCGTTCTCTGAGCGTTTTTTTTATGATGCCATTTGATCGGTGCGTTCTTTCTTAAGTTCCGACGCGCAAAAAACATGTTCTGTATACTTGCACGCCGGATAGCACAGCAACCAACGATGGAAGCTTGTAGATTGTTGATGACATTTCTGGATGTTGATAACTAAGGGGCATAGGCACATTCCGGAGGTGGTCTGGAATCTTCCCGAGGCGTTTCTGGCGCCTGTCACATATGCTAAAAATGCCGTGTCACTGGGAATTGGAATATTCCGCAAAGAACTAGGAATGCTGAGAACGCATTTCACAACCCCGTAGACATCAGCGCGCAGAAGGTAATTATTGGAATGGTCTATAGACGTTCAAGATATCTATGAACCGTTAATGGACAGTTTGTGGATCTTCTATGACGCCTAGGAAATTTCTGGGGCGCCTAGGATTTTTATTAAATATTGAAGGTGATAGGGCTGTGCGGCTGAAGTTTCGCCGCGCATAGGCAGCGCCACTCCTGCCCCTGGCAAGGCGCTGTCTTGCCAGGGGCAGACAGCGCCTTGACGCTGTCTCGACGCAGTCTTGCACTTGCGAGACACACTTCGCAAACAACAAATATTCCTATGCCTGGATTATTTCGTCCACCCCGGAGACCTGACACGCAGGCAACCATTCTTTGCGGAGGTTTGCGGAGGCGGAAAAAATGATCACAGTTTTTTAACGGACAGAAAGCTTCAACGCGGTGCCCGCCATTGCAACTGGCAGCGCGATGGGACGAGCGAACGGCTAAGTAGGGCAAATTTCGGCCACGGCGCGGCGCCACTGGTATCGTTCCAGCGCGCCCCCTGGCCCAGCCGAACGGTCCCATGGGTGTATGTTTTGAATAATTAGACTTCAGTCTTTATTTTTTGGCTCTGGAGAGCCGCGGCACATCGAAAAGGCAGCAGCCCGTACCATAGAGGGCGGCTGTGCGGCGTCTAGTGAACATGATAATGTGATGTCATATACATGCACCCATATATATGTTTTGAAAGTAAGTAACTATATATGAAACATATATAGTTACTTTTGTTCAACGTCAGTAGAACCACTCAGTTGGGAAACTGCCATAGAGACTGCTCTGAAAAAGTGGCCCCGACGGCCCCGATCTGTCCCCCAGAACCGAGCTAATGGCGAACTCTACGCTGCCATTTCTCCCGCAGCGGCCACTCGAGGAACTGCACGTTACTCCTATTTTGGCTTTAATCGGCTATTTTGGCGCCGAAACAGATACAGCGGAAGAGTTTACAGGGGTGCCACCCCCGTCTCCCCAGCGGACGCGCCGCGAATTACTACCGAAGTTAAGTCAAGTCAAATCAAAAGTCTTTATTTTCTCTCCGTTTGGAGAGGGGAGGCAGAGAAAAAAGCAACTCAGTGTTGCTTGACGAGCCTCTGCCCCCCTCCCTACAGCAGCAGAAAAAAAAAATATGTACACGTACACAAACTCATACAAATTGACAATCTCTACACCAATAAAACGAAAATAAGTGAGCTAAATCCCCTCCCTACCGCAGCAGAGAGAGAAAAAATATATACACGTACACAAACTCATACAAATTCACAATCTCTACACCACAAAAAAAAAAGTGAGGTAAATCGTACAATCGATTCATACTTTAACTATTCCAGAACGTGTTTAAGAAAATCATTAACAAATACAGAAAGCACGTCCTTCCGAGTTCCACTTAAAATATTTATATCCAATTCACTGCAACAATTTAAAAGGCGCGGTAGTGCATATCTCAGCATTTGATCGCCGTAATTGGTCCTGGAGTGCGGTACTGCCCACGCATCTTCAGAACGAGTGTCGTAGAGCGTTTCCCTGAACTGAAGATTTGAGATCGATAAAAGTAAACGGTTGGTACAAAACGACTTTTTATAGGCAAGGGCTAATTTGTAACTATAGTGACTTGTAATTTGCACAATATTAAATTTTTTAAACAATGGTTTCGTATGACTGTCATAGCTAGTATGACATATCGTACGAATCACTCTCTTCTGAAGAATATGCATTTGATTTATATTAGTCAAGGTCGTATTTCCCCATACCAAAAAGCAATAGTTATATTGAGCGTAGAAAATAGAGTTGTAAATGAGTATCATGGCCGAACTAGGACTCATATGGCGATATCTGTATGTTATACCCACAGCCTTCGATAGCTTTTTACATGTGTATTGCACCATATCGTTCCAAGTCATGTACTGATTAAAGATTACCCCCAGGACTTTTACACTCTCAACTATATCAATAGTGCCTGTACCAAGCAAAAGTACAGACCTAGGACTACAATTTGTATTCCGAGATCTAAATACCACGGCCTTTGTTTTACTTACATTTATTTGCAGGGAATTCGATAGTGCCCAAGCATTTAATTGATAAAGATAATGGTTCGCATTGCTTATAATTGTATCTATGTTAACGCCGGAAAAAAATATACTCGTATCGTCCGCATAAATAATGCAGTTCACATTACCATTAATATTTACTAGGTCATTAATATACAAGTTGAAGAGGAGTGGCCCCAATATACTGCCCTGTGGTACACCGGCGGTTAGTGGTCTGAAATTTGATCGTTTCTTATTTATTTCAACACACTGATGGCGGTTTTGAAGGTAACTAGTAATCATTTGTAAAGCGACCCCGCGAACACCATAAATGAACAGTTTCTTAAGTAACGTTTTATGATTTATGCGGTCGAAGGCTTTTGTGAAATCAATGAATATGCCGAGTGTTATCAGCTTCGCTTCGATGTTGCCTAAAAGTAGTTCTTTTTGTTTTAAAAGTGCAATCTCAATCGAGCGACCTTTCATAAATCCATATTGACAGGGCGTAATGATTGAAAATTTCTCACAAAAATTATTAAGCCTTTGATGTATGATTTTCTCTAATCCCTTGGAAAATATGGGTAAAACCGAAATAGGTCGATAATTTCCTAAGTCATTCTTATCACCGGTTTTATATATTACAGTCACCTTTGCTATATGCATTTTTTTTTGGAAAGGTACCATACTTAAGTGCTAAATTGAATATGTGCGTTAAATAGGGTAAAATCGCCCGCAATACATGTTTAATTGGTTTTATTTGAATGTCGTATATATCGAAGCTTTTACTGTTTTTTAAGTTTTGAAACGCTGAGAATACTTCCTCTTCGTCGGTTGGGGTAAGAAATAAGCTGTCAGAAACACTAAGCATGTATTTAGAGGCACTCATAGAACACACACTTTGAGCAGGCTTAACAAAATGTTCATTAAATTTCTCAGCTAAAGCTTCCCCCTCTATATCGGTGCCTTCGATTTTGATTTTCGTGATTATCTCCTTGTGCGGCCCATTCTTAAGTATACCGTTCAATTTTTTCCATATAACATCAGATCTGTTTACACCTTGAAATAAATTGTTAAAATAAGAACGCTTTGACTGCCTTAAGGCCCTGGTACACTGATTTCTTTGTTCCTTAAATTTAGCCAACACGCTAACGTCTCTGCTACGTACGAATTGATGGTAAAGGGTATTTTTCTTATTTATCATTTTTCTTATTTCTGACGTAACCCATGGTTTACGTGATTTGCGGGAAATATTTCGCTGTTGGTAGGGGAAGCAACGGTCGTATATCATAATAAACTTATCGAGAAAGTAATCAAATGCTTCGTCAGCTGATACGCTAGACAACACCGCACTCCAGTTCGCAGAAAATATCTGTTCTTCAAAATGTTGCAAGTTTTTTGTGCTGATATTTCTAAAAAAAGACTGAGCAACATTAGTTTTTTTGCTGTTGAAATTTACATGACTAAACATAAAGATCGGCAGGTGATCGCTAATCGTTACCCCGATCACGCCAGCAAGTATCTCTGTGGTGGGAACGTTCGTTAAAAATAAATCAAGCAACGTGTCATGTAGAGGCGCTATACGAGTGGGCAGTGAAATAACATTAGACAATCCATATGACTGATACAGTGACAGTAAATCAAGCTGATGTTTAGAGGAGGTTAGCATGTCTATATTAAAATCACCGCCAAGATAAAGACATGATTTATTTTCACCAACAACCTTTAAAAAATTTTCAAGAAATTCAAGGAAGGTCGCAACATTCCCAGATGGCGGTCGATAGACGACAGAAAATACAAATTTAGCATGTTGTAAAGTTAAAATCTCATAGTCCTTTGTTGTCGCTGTGAAATCACTGACAATATTATATTCAAGGTCTTTTTTAACGTACATACATACACCTCCTCCTACTTTGTTGCTACGATTTAAATTGAATACTGCATACTTCTCTAGTCGGTCCACTTCATCACTCTGGTTATACCATGTTTCAGTTAGCATTATTATATCAAAAGAAAATGTAAAACTGTCCAAAAAGATGCTAAGTTCATCAAACTTGTTTCGCACTGATTGAACATTTAAATGAAATAACGAAAAGGGCACAATTGGTTGGTCTTTAAAAAGTTTAACAACCTCGTTTGGCAATAAGTAAGAAGGAACTGTCATTGCGAGTGAAGATAAAAAAAAATGCAATACCCAAAGCAAAACTACTCCAATTTTTGCAAGTCATCCTTAGTCTTTATTAGATGTGCTTGAGTTCCGTCCTTCTCCCTGACAAAAATCTTGCCGTTTTTATACCAAGCGTACTGGAACCTGTTTGTTTTTGCCCATTCTTTCGTTTCCCACAGTAGTGCCTTATCTTGCTGCGTTAAGTTTTCCAAGATATATGTCTTACTCCGAGCATTCCTTAGTCGTGACCGCCGGTCTAGCCACATATCGCGTGTCACCTGGCTGACAAAGCGAACAATGACTCCGGGGATCTTGTCTGCACGTGAGGGAAGTCTGTGTGCTGCGATAATTTGATCCGATGTCAGATCAGGCACATCCAGGTTCTTTGCCACTTCATTTATTTTAGACAGAAGATCTTCTTTTTCGCTTGCAGGAATCCCATGCAGTTCGAGGTTTTGCCTGCGATTTCTCCATTCAAGATCGTGCACCTTTTGTTTTAAGTGTTCTATTTCCAACTCTGCGTTCGTCTTTTCCAAGTTTGTAACCCTTTTATTTAAACTTTTTATTTCTTCGTCCTGTTCACCAACGCGCTTGAGCATGACGTCATAGTTGTCCGACATATGCTGGAGTGACTTTTCCATTCCATCTACTGTTTCCTTAAGGTTTAAAAGTGTGTCAAGCTTAGCATTCATGCCAACCAGGAGACTAGCTACATTGAGTTCACTGGTTTGCACGTCGCTCTGAGTGCCGGAAGCGGCACCTTGTTCTCTAGGTTGCCTACTGCTTTGACTGCTCCGAGACTTAGCAGCTCTGCAAGTCTGGCACCGCCAGGTTTTTCGGATATTTGCATTCTTTTTAAGTGTCGCTTCGGAAATTCCGGCACAATTGCCTAAGTGATAAGAATATTGACACTCCGTGCATTTAACCTGTAATTCACTTTCCGACATATCTTCAGCACATGCCGGACATATAACATCTGTACCATGGGCCATTTTCTTTGTAAAACATAATCACGCAATAAACACAAAAAAAATACAGCAAAAAACCACGAAACAAAACACAACAGCAGCAGCAGCAGCAGCAGTGAATCACGGAGGGAAGAAAAGATTTACACAACGTGAAGAAGACCAACCTGAAATGTCGAGATGAGGCGTTTAGTCTCAGTACAGCGTACTGCCGCTGCTGCTGTGCGTCCGCAAGTCGAGAGTGCCTCCTTTATAGGGGTGGTGGCGTGGCCGCGGTGCCGCTGGTCCTATCTGCCGATTGCCGGCGGTGCTCCCAAGCACAGCCACATGCAGATGGCGCTGATTTCTTTCACCAATCGCAGATGAAGCTCCCGGTCACAGGCATGAGTAGATGATCCAGGGCACGATGACGGTGTTTCAGGGCGATGAAGTCCGGTAGAAGTGTGCTCCGCAACTGAAATGTCGAGATGAGGCGTTTAGTCTCAGTACAGCGTACTGCCGCTGCTGCTGGCCGACCTAGGTGCTTAAAATGCACCTAGGTCGGGACGCGCTACCTGAAAGCCCCGCTGAGGCGTGGTTGTATAAAAACAATATTAATTGTTCCGCAAAGCCTTGCAAACTAAAGATTATAAAAACATCACACGCCCTTCATTTTGTATTAAACTCCAAAACATTTCATACAAAAAGAGTCTTTTCCGTTTGTTTTTACGCAAAAACATGCTTTGTAAAAGCTCAAGGTGATTACAGTACAGACAAATGATAAAGAGTGGCGCTGTTGTTGTATTTAGCTCGATCTCGGTGGACGCCAGCGGCCCAGGTTTCGACAGCGAGTTTCCCAACTGAGAGTTTTAGTAACGTTGCTTTTGTTTCACATTGGAGTCGTCTTAAATCATCTGTGTCGTTTTTTAGAGTGACGACAGGTCCAAGACACCTCTAAAACGTCAGTGGTAAGTCACGTCAGCTTCGGATATTACCTAAACTTTTATCATGCTTTTGGAATGTATTGCTCCAGGGATGCTTAACTACTGCTCTAATTAGACATGAGGAAGATACATAGAAAGGGGGGACGGACAACGAAGGTTTCGTTGTCCGTCCCCCCTTTCTATGTATCTTCCTCATGTCTAATTACCGTTACCAACACGCTCGTTTTGTTCTTACTGCTCTAACTTTTTGCGCGCCATCGAGAATTTCCAGCAGTTCTCAGCAGTATTTATAGGACGTCCAGAGCATTTATAAGTTATTGTATATGAACTTGAATCACATGCTACATGTAATCAAACATCACCAGAAGAAACGCTAAGCCTTCTTTTAAAATATCTTGTATCTATTTTTTTTTTTGTGCATGATTTTGCAGTAATGTTGAGTTTGTGTTGTTTGTGTCGTGTCACATTAATTATAGCCTCAATTCACCTAAATATGCCCCGTTCTGTGAAGACGTGGCTTCTTTCCGCATGAAAATTTGCTCCCGTGCTGGTGTGACTGTTTGTGTACGTCGAACATACCCGGGGGATCATTTAGGGGTCATTTTCATCCCGACTTCTGGACGATACTCGTAGCTTCCGTCACATCTCTAGAACTTTTCTGGCACACTTCGAGCAGAAAGGGCGCAACCTGGTGTGTTTTATTACGGTCATTGTTTAGTTTATTTTTCAAAGGCTGACTTACGTTTAGTTCCCCATGTGCATCAATTAAATCTTGCCCCTGGTTCTGAAGGTACCGGTCTCCGCGTGCAGGCAACCAGTGGCTTCAGGTGGATCTGGGCCCCCCGACTCGCGTGACGGGCGTTGCGACGAAAGGGCGGGGCGACCCCCGGCGCAAGCACTGGACGACCGCTTACCTGCTCTCCTACTCTAACGACAGCCTGCGCTGGCACCACTACAAGGACGACAACCACCTTGACCCAAAGGCAAGCGCAAGGCCCACTCACGGTTCACAGCTCGACAAAAGCCCCGGGCCTTCTGTTCATCCAAAGCGAACTCTCTCCTAACGAAGCCACGGTGTGGCTTAACAAATTGAATCGTGGTGCAAAGTTTGTCGGTACATGCCGTTATCGAAGCGGCACCGCTTTCCGTGAAGGTTCTACCTCAGTGAAGTTTCAAAGGTTTGGATCTTGGAGAATTCTACCTTAGAAAAAAATTAAAATCAAGGTGGGAAAAAAATAAAAAAAACATCGTGACATTTTTTGAAAAATCAAATAAATCATATTTAGAATATTGATGACAGATTTATTTGACAAAATCAGATTATTTTATTTAAGTCACTGCACCTAGAAATGGTAAATATTTAACCCTAGATGAATTTTTAAACGTGGCAGTTTGATTGACCAATCCGTCAGATTGTTAAAAACAATGCGGACGAAAGGATTACTATAATATTTAAAGTATGCACTTTAATTTACTTTTTGTTAGTGTAAATGTCACCATACTATAGTAAACGCAGCTCGATTTTTTTTAATTAGTAAAGAAGCTTTAATAAACGTTTTTTACGCTTTTATTTGCGTGCACTATGGCACTACTTTTTTCTTTTATTTTCTTTCGCGTTTGGATTTGCTTGCAATATAACATCATGTAGCTGAAGAATAAAGTGGTAGATAGAAAAAAAAAGCTCAACGTTCCGATTTTCTCAGGAGAGCTACGATAATTGCTCGTGTTCAGCCTGCTAAAGTATTTTTTTCTTGACCAATATTTGATCGAGATACAAAACAAATGCACACATACAAAAAAAAGCATCAAATTGGAGACGAACTGTAAGTATAATTAATATTTTAGAATTATTAACGAGAGAAAGATTTTATTTAAATCCTTACTGAGAACTGGTGTGATTAAAACCACAATTTCGATAATAATCGAAATCGCGAATTAAATCATCTTAGTTTTTATTCTTCACACTTGTCAGAATACCCTTTTCAGCTCTTGAAGTTGATGCAGTGAAATAGATCTCAGGTTGAAGCGAACAAGCATCATTTATCGGCTAATATTTGGGTGGGTAGCAGAATATGGTTTGACTGTTTTCTCGGATGCGGATACGAATACGGACTGTTTTCTCGCGCCCAAGTAAATGCCAATCTCATTATAGATATCGATATCAGTGCGCAGTTTCTTTTAGTTTATACACCAACTCATGTTTACAAACAAACCGGAGCGCCCCTAGCGGACGCCACCGGCGCCGCGCATGCTTGGTGGGGGTGTGGGCAAGAAGCTCGCCGTCGCCCATAAACAAACCATTGAAATGCGATGTTGTCGGCGTCGGTGTGAGTCCCTTCACTCTTTTTCGCGTTCGAATTGTTGATTCTACGTCTTCTTGGCGATGTCTGACTACTTGAGCGGCGTCAGCGAAATTACCGAGGCTCGTTACACCGCGAAACTTCGCGTGAATAATGTGACATGTGGCGATTCATTCCGCGTGGGAGCCGCAGTGTGTGCGCTAAAACCGGATTCGCATGATGAGATTTCGCTCGCTATTTTCAGTCGCGACGCCGCTGGGGCTGCAAAAGCGTGAACCGTAGCTAAGATGGTCGACGTCGATACTGAAAACCGCAAGCAGAATCAGACCAAGTCAACTAGGCATAGCAAGTCAGTGATGGTCACTGGTAACAATGATCATCTCCTTGTATCTACTGTTTACATCGAGCCTGCTAACCAACCTTCAAACTTAAGTCGTTTGAGGCCTGCACTTACTTCTTATAGCAAGTACCGGGCCACCATTTGGTCTGCGGGCCGGTGTCGTCTAAGAGAGCAGATGACAAGCAGAAACGTCTGAAAGAGCAGACGACAGTTCGAACGATCAGGCGGCCGTTTGAACTTGAAGACGCACTGAACGTAGTCCGCAGGTGGTCCGCACAGCTTGATGGTTTTCTGGCGTTCATGTTGGAACAAAACAGATAGCTCTAATCACCACAAGTATCCGTGAATTCAACCCAAAGTGCTTCCCGCCCAAGCGATCGTTGTCCGACGTCGTCTGCTTTTCCCTTTTCACGGCACATATCGAGATTCTCGGACGAACCGAGCACGTGAAAACTGACCTTCAAACCTTTCTCGACACTTTTGGTACGGCCCCAGCCGCGGCGTTTTGACGAGAAGGCAGGTTTTTGTCTGGTTCCTTTCAAAACAACGCAGGAATACATGTCTGGCATGGGGACTTCTGCCCACAGCCCCAGACCGGAAGTGCGACCGACGCGCCACCACCGCGCCGTGACGTCACAGAGTTGAGTTGGTGTATACATAAGCAGGGCGTGAGGAATCATGCTAGGGGCTTTTGTGAAAGTCCAGGGAAATGCAATCAACCCGTTTACCGTTCTCGGAGGTCTGTGCGTCTTCATCGTTCGAGCTGTTTTCATCGTGTATGATGTTTACCAACTTGTCCAATTCGCTATCTTAGTACAACTAGCAGCACTTATAGTGCATTATTTTGTGTCTGTCAGTGCCTAGCACCGGCGTAGAACTACAAACCAATACAAATTCGCGTAAATTTACATGGATTACCAAGGGACTTTCACACTTCTGCGCGTAATAAGCTTACAAAAACGATTGAAGTTCCTTATAAGGCCCAATGCCTACGAATTGTTTTTTTCACACGTGCAGTCAGTTGCTGGAACAGTTTCCCAGAGAGTCTTACAAATGCATCTACCGTGGCATCATTTGCAACAATGATTCAACAACTTTTTCCGCTGTGATAGCCTATCGTTTCTTTTTGTATTGCTTGCATTTATCTTAGGAGGTCTTGCTTTTTACACCGGAGTTGCTAAGGGCTAATTTCTCCAGTATTGCGTCTGCGGGCAAACAAATGTCGACAGGAAACTCTGGACAACTACCGCCATCTATGAGTGACGGCGGACACTGGAAAACCGGCTTTCCGGTTGTCTGGTTGCCGCCGTGGCTTATAGACGGCGGTAACCTTTCCAGCCTTTCCACTCTGGCTTCATTCCCACCACAGTACAGCTTCGCTGGTCTTCCTTCTTTGCCAAAGTAAAAAGGTTTAGAGTTTGTCCTTCGTGTTTTGTTTTTTTTCTCTTTTTGTGTGCTCACCCCTGCCTTGGCTACCAAATGGTGACTGGTAATATTTCTAAATAAATAAATAAAATATTTTGACACTGCGCTTCTTCTCTATCCTGGCAAAAATGCAACAGATCAATGATTCTCCGAAAACCCATTGCATTTCTCAAACTCGATCCATTGATCTGTATACCTCTAATAACCACTACCTCTTTACAACGGCAATTTAACCATGACCCTAGGCCATTATTTAAAAAAATTATAATTAACACATTTTATATGATTATTTCACTCATCGTAAAGATTATCCAGAGAGCGAATGTCCACCGAGACCAATAAATATGCATTGCAACTAGTGTCTCTCTAACAATAACGCCTCTCAAAAATAGCCGTTTGAATGGAAAACAAATATTGGTCAGTGGCTATGACAAGTTAAAGGAGCACTGACACCCCAAAGGTCGTTTTTTTTTTTTTTATTGTCTAAAACGGATGCAAGTTGCAGTCATAGACACGCAAAAAAAACCGCATCGCGAAAAAATTTTCCCCGCGCGCGCGCGGCTCTTTACTTTTGGCGTTTGATTCTCCCGCCTCTCGCCTCCTCGCTTCTTTTGATTCGTGACGTCAAGAATCATGAAATTTAGAAGCTTTGTAGGCGACATTTATATAACAGTTAATAACGGCAATCCTAAAACATGTTTTTTGACGCAATTGCGAACGCACTACGGCCCTTCTTTTTGAAATATCAAAAATCGGGAGTTCGTTGTGGTGCCGTCTCCTGGATTTGTATCCTCCCACGGAAAACAGGCGACACCGCTCAAAACCGGTCCGCCGGCAGCTCGCTCTTTTCCTCCTTGCTTTGGGTCGCCATGGCAACAGCAGGGAGTCGTGAAAGAAAGTGGACTCTCAGGACTCCGCAATATTTGACGTCAACGCACCGGCACGGATAGCGTGGGAACTTCGAATTCGGCATTTGGAAATTGGTTTTTTCCTTCATAAATACTGAATTCCCAAATTTCTAATTTTGAGGGTAATGTCCCGGCATCGTTTTCAATCGTTTCGGATAATAAAAAAAAATAACGATTTTGATGTGTCAGTGCCCCTTTAATATTTACCAGCCTGAAACAGACCAGTGGCACTGAAAGGTATACATGGACCATTTTATACTAGCATTTTTCCAATGTTGACAAGCCAGTGGTAGACAGGCAAACATTGCACATTCTATCCCAGTATGTCCTTTCGTCCTTGCCATGTTGGCTAGCCAACGTCATTGGCAGGCCAGCATTGGCTATTTTATGCCAGTGTTCGTACAGCATTGAACGGGCCCCTACTCTACCGAAAAATACAGTATAATTTTCCGCTATCTGGAACATGGAACTGGAAATATATTCGGATCCTATCTGGATTTAATGTTTTCATCAATTATTCCATTTTCTGCAATCTGGATTTCAGGCTAGAAACATTCCAGTTAGATTTCCACTTCCATAAACCTCATAGTAGAAAGTTATACTGGGCGTTTTGGTAGGGTAATGGATAATCTGACCCTTCACAAGAAGCCTTGTGCACTAGCATAGCCAATATTGGTAAACTAGTGGTTCCTCTGGGAATTCATTGGTCCGTCTTTTGCCAGTTCAATTCCAATATGGGCCCAACACCGTGGGCTGCATGAGCAAGTTTCTTTGTCTTTAAGAATACATCGCTGAAGGCGCGTACGTTATGCAAACAAGGAAAAGCAATACAGACTGGTGCGGAAGCTTTCTTTGCTCGCGTAACGGAAGCGAGAAACTGCAACATATTACAGCAATATATCATCTCGTTATTGCAGCAAAGTCGATTTACAAACTGATACTTATTGCATCAGTATCTGACATTTATCACTTACACAGCCGTAAAGAAACAAACATCCTAAGCAGCATGGGCGTACCGACCGTGGGAAGGGGGCAAGGAGGGCGCTTGCCCCCCCCCCCCCCCCCAGTTTTCAAAGTGGGGGGGCAAAGCATGTGTTTTGCCCCTCCCCCCCCCCCCCCCCCCCCCCCCCCCCCCCCTCCGGCCCGAAACAGCCGCCACGGGGTAGGGCAAACACTGGCCTTGTTTAGGGGTTATAAGCGCTAAAACCGACGGACGAGTAAGAGAGACACACACCACAGAGCGCTACAGAAAGCTCTGTGGCGTGTGTCTCTCCTACTCGTCCGTTGTTTTTAGCACTTTTAACCCCTACACATGTTCAACCAACCAGCCCAAATCCAAACCCTTCTGCAAACACTGGCCGGAGGCGCCGAGGGACACCAAGGGCACCGCCCCCCGGCTCGTGGGGGAGGGGGGGGGTCTGGTTTACCCCCCCCCCCCCCCCCCCACTCACACACACTTAAAGACAAGCTGGTATGCCACTGCTAAGTAGTCATGTAACAGAAGATACCGATGTAACAAACAATAGAAACCTGGCTTTACGTACACTGCGCGACACCGTTAGCGCGAACATTACATCGGCGCTTGTTCGAATTTTACTTTCAAATGTTCACTGAGGGAACCAAATTGTTTTCGCCTAGGCTGGTGCCCCAAATGAGGACTCCACGCGACATTAGTAGTTTTGATGAGAGCCGCTTGATTCTAATTGGGACACAGCAAAAAACGACGATCGCTTGTTCGTGCTAAGTCTCGCTCTCTGTACGTTGCTGGATTACTAAAATTATCTATGACGTAAGCTGACGTAAATGACGTAAGCTTCTAACACCGATTCATGGTGCAAGTACATTTCTTTCACCCATATGTAATTATGCTGACATATGTTTTATTTTAAACTTACTGTACTGTAGAAGGGTACTACTGCATTTGGGTTGAGGAATGAATGCATTACCTTTGAAGCTCTGCAGTCATGAACGCGACCGTTTCGCGTGTTCCTATTTGACTGTATAGTCTATTGTAGGTTTAGAATAAGATGACAAGCGCCTCCCACAAAGCCCACCACTATTTGCACTTTAATAGAGTGGACGCCGGAGAGGAGGACAGTGGAGTGCAGGACATCATGCACCGATCATGGCGACCAGGAACTTTGTTGGAGAGGCCTCTCCTGCTATCTTAAACCTGCAAAATCTATAAGTAACGAGGAATGTTAATGTACTGTAATCATGCGTCGAATACTGAAATGTCTCTTCAAGCCGCGAAAATTGCTTGTACGACGGTGCAGGGATCAGCTTTAGCGTATGCTTCTCCATGTAATTTCACTTACTCAACTCATACTGAATTTCAAAGTCCCGCCTTGAGGATATTTAAATAAGCGCAGAGTATTTCTCTCCACGGAAGTTGGTTTAGATTCTAAAAGATGGCGCCACCGACACGATGCTGACCCTAGAGAGCCTGAATCACAGAGAGCTTCCAACTGCTCGGTGTGGGTCGCGTGGTAATGGGCCGCGTTCGCAATGCGAGCTGCGAGGAGTTCTCGAACGCGTTGGGCCGCCTGCGAACGGCTCAACCTCTCCGCATGCTTTCCTCCTCGCCACTCGAAAGCGCATCGCACGCGCATTTGTGATCAATCTCCTCACGTGGTATCCGCCATTAAATTGCAAACGCTCCCAATGGTCGGAGATGAACCCTCTCTTCAACCTAAGCCCTCTACGCGAGCCTGGCAAGAAATCCCCAACATTTTAGAACAAGATTGTATAAAAAAATAATGTTTTACGTTAATTGGCAATACTTTTGATTGTAATAAATCCTAACCCCTAAAGCAATCGTTTTCAAAAACGCGTGTTGACGATTGGGCTAGTTGGTCATTCATATTAGCGGAAAACAAACAGCGCAAGGACAAGGACAGAGTAGAAGGCGGTAGACACAGCGCCAGAGACACAGGCGGTAGACACACACAGCGCTGTGTGTGTCTACCGCCTTCTACTCTGTCCTTGTCCTTGCGCTGTTTGTTTTTCAAAAACACGGGTTTTTAGAGTTCTGGGTTAGCAAAGACCGTTTCATTATTATTCTTCGGAAGCGGAAGAACGAAACATAAGTAAGTGGTCTAAAAACCGTGTCAAAACATACTCACATTTGCTCACTCGGTGCAAAAATGACCGACACATAACGAAGCTCATCCTGAATATTGTGGTATCCGAGGTTATCAGGCTTCTCTTGTGTTGTTTAATCGGGGTTTGGGAATGAACTTGTGTGCTAGAAATGCTGAATTATTCGGAATGTGGCCCCAAGTCATCATGCATGAAAACAACAATATAAATAACATAAAAATACAATGCTCCAGCTAGTTTTAAAATGCACGAGATTCATTGGTGCCTGATGCAGTTACATATATTACACATTTCCTACGTGTTTTGCTTTTTTTCTCGTATCTTGGAACATCTCCCTGAAACCACTTGCGTCACAGTTACAAACCCCTTACCAGTTAGTGCAGTAATATGTACAAGGATTGAAATTAAGGCAAATTGTATTTAATAACTATTTTACTAACAAAGTGCACGTACATCTATAGTACATATTCAGTGGATGAACCAAATTTCACGCAATACTGAATATTTTATAGGAAATACTACAAACTTATATAACTATTTTTTTCTCAAATTTATATTTTAGTAAAAACTTACTGAAGCATTATTCCTGACGTACCCACGAGCTAAATAAAAGTCTGAATGATCGCATTGCGAATTAACCAATATAAAAATTTAAACATTTTTAGTAAACCCGAGGCCTACTTCTTGTATACCATCCCCACTTATTGATTTTTGACATTTTCGCAATAAGAACTTCAAGCATATTTAAGGCGTGAGAAAGGGGGAAAAAAGAGGTCACACATAAAATAGAAGCAAACGTATATTCCGGGTTTTTAGGACTGTGCGTGTGTGTCTCTTTTTGTGATTCTTCTCTTAAATGTAAATTGCGTATCACCAGCCTGTACACGCACTTATTCTCATGTAACGAAAAGGCAAATTGTATACTAAAAAATAGCAACACTAATTGTTTATATCTTAAACGTCCAGAATACTTGCACAAATGGCTACAGCATAACTACGATATACGTTTATGCACATATTAAGCTGTTAGCCTATAATTGCATAATGTATAAGTCACTATGTGAAAACAATGACTTCAACGATTTACAGCTCAATTTTAATCGGAAGCGTACAAATTGGCAAATGAAATTGAGCGCTGACAAATATAAGCATATGGCATTTTCTTGGCGAATTGTGAGGACATCTTGTGAACATCTTGTGAGCATTTGTATATCCTAGATGACTGTTTGCTAGAAAGTGTTTCCAGGATCCGTCACGTGAGCCTGATTTTCTTTGAGGATATAGCGTAGAACATACACACCGATGACTTAATTATGAAAGCCAACATAGCGCTGGTCTTTTTCCAAAGAACTTTCAAATGTTTTAGCAGAGACCTAAAAACCACTCTGCACTTTATATTCATTCGATCAATTCTGCAATATACTTGCATTGACTGGGACCCTTTCACAAACTAATTGAAAAGATTGCATAAAAATGTAATAAAAATACAACGAAAACAAAAAATGAAGTGCTAGCCAACTTAGTAGTTCTAGCCAACTTAGTAGTAGTGTTAACCAACTTATTGACGTCAAAGAGCTTAAAAAATGAAAGACGAGTTACATTGGCCATTACTAGCTACCCAAAGGGAAACAAAAACTCAGGCAGTTTTCTTATGCCCTCTTCCAAGACCAAACGATAATCGAGATGGAAAATGACCCATTGACGCTGCACTGTCTGTTACGAAGACTAGAGCAACCGTCCAAAAAAGAAACTGTATCACACTGCCCCTCAATGTTTCGTTCCTACCGCAAGTGACTGAAGTCTGTCTTCATCCTCACTATAGTTTCTGCGTCACATTCCACCATGTTCGTTCTTCAACTCACCCCTTTCCCTGCTGTAATGTACAAAGGGGCGCAGCAGAATTGTGTGCAACCATACAAATGAATACATGGCTAATGGTTCGGAAGAGAGAGAGAGGGGAACGAGAGAAGAACTGCACCTCCAATCCCTGTGCAGGTGTTCGGCGGCAATATGGACCGCGACACGGAGCGGCGGCACTACCTGAACGTCCCGTTCGTGGCTCGCTTCGTACGCTTCCAGCCGTCTTCGTGGAAGCGCAGGATTGCACTCCGGGTGGCAGTCATCGGGTGCCCGCACCGTGGTAATTATACACTCGCCTTTCGTACTAATTCACAATGCCTTTCATGCAAGTAGAGCTTTCATGCAATGAATCTGAAAATGAGTATAAATATAAAATTTGCCCGAACGGAAAGCAAAGAAGAAAAGCAACACTTAAGAAGGACGACACTTGTTCCTGGAGTCATCGGCGCGCACTACTGTTCTCCGATCTGCAAACAAACATGCTCTCCTTTGCCGACAGGGCAAGCGACGGGCACTAACACATTCTGACCCCACTTGTCCGATAGCGCGCGCGCGCTTCAACAATCTCACGCGCGAGCTTGACCTTTTGTCTACTGATGACCGTGATTCTTTCAAATGTTGAAGTCGCGGTTGGTGTTTATGGGAACTTCTCACCATAATGCGCATTCGGGTCCGCAAAAATAAAACATACAAACGGTAGTATTTCGTAGCAAGTGTATTCTATATTTCTGGGGACGCTGAAGTGTCACCGACTTACTAGATATAAGGCTTCGATCGCCAGGAGGTCTCGTATGTTTCACGTCGACCGGGTGAATAAGCAGGCATTTAGTTATAACGACACTGGAAGCCAGCCACACGTCCTTCCTGACAGTTATTTTGAAGAGAGTTTCAATAACTGGTTTGCAAAATTCAAAAAAGAATTAGCTCGGAACAAATAAGAAACCAGCACTCACAGAACACATTCGAACCAACAGGATACACGGAGTCGCTTTCACGGAAGTGTTTACTAGACACGCGAGAGGTTCTCGAATTTCGCTTTCCTATTTTCAATTTGATTCAACTGACTTAGTTGCTCTAGTAGCGTTGGCAAGAGGCGTGGCGTACAAGCCGACGGTGACTTCGCCTTCTAAACCCGCCTGTAAAGAGTTTCATTAGCTAGAAAATATCACAGAAATGAGGAACGCACACATGAAGGCACTTCGGGCTAGGCTGGTCCCGTATAGTATTTGGAGTTGGGGGACCCCGGATAATTGTGTTTTTTGTATGTCATTCAAGACGTGAAACCTGTTTTCAGGAGACTGCGGCCCAGGATTTCTCAGGGTTCGGGACGACTCCGAATGCTGTGAGTGTACATTTTTTGCTCCCTCCCCCCTCACCCACTGCGGTTCTTTTCCGAATCCCACTCTGTAGTAGATTTGAGTTACAGCAGCTGGTCAACTTTAGTTGGTGACAGGTTACGAACGGTAGGTGGTCTGCCTCCAGCACGAGCTCGCTGCCTTCTGCCGGGCTCTGGCTGCGCCTGCGACCGAGTGCTATTAACGTAAGAAAGTGCGCACTCGAGGCTGAACAGCTATCACCGACAATTAGCGGCGTGATGTTTTAATGGCGCCCTCCTATGGTTCCCTCTCGTGACGTCATTACCCTGCGAAGAACAACTTAGACGGTGTTTGTAATGAGCATCCTGGAAGCCTAAAATCATTACGATCTCAAACCAACACTGCCAACACCGTCAAAATTGAAGTTCTCTTATTACTCTTATTGAGTTTTCTCATTACTCTTACTCGATGAGAAATCTTTTTCTGACGTCATAGTCAGCATTTGGCCAATCGTAGAATGCCCACCACAGCGACGCTTTCGATCGCGCACATCGCCATATTAGGTAGATCTCGAACCTGTCCAGGTTAAGATCGACCAGGTTTGATTTTGTTAGACTTTCGACACAAAGCTGGACAAATGTTCGCCTGAATTTCCACCACTATGCGCATGCACGAACTTGAAAACTGGTGTATGATTGCCGTTTGACAGGCAGGTGTCACAATCGTGGTGCATGATTGTCGGGTGTCCCAAACGTAAATGAAATAGCCCAAAGAGTACTGTCACTAAGTATAAATTTGTATTTATTGCGCGACAATGTCACGTTTAAAATGCAAAATAGCACCAATGACGTACTTAGCCTATATATGTGCCGGGCCCACTGATTTCTTTGTTGTATCTGTACACTAGTCATTCTACACCTTCGTGGCATATGTGTTCTTGAATTCAAGGACGATGCAGTTAGCACAAATAAATGATCTGAGTCGAAATTGCAGAAAGGCTTCCATCAGCAAAAGAGGTTTTAATGATGGGAGTACAATGGACGTGTTGATGTCTCGAAGAAGTCTATGGAGCGAAATTCGGTGTTCGTTTTACTTTCTATAAATAAAACGAAAAAAAAAGCGCTTTCAGCCGCAGTGTCAGTAGCTGGCTCCTTCGAAGCAGACCAAGCCACAACGTGAATAGCTGTATATGATGGTGTGATAATAAAAGTTCAATGTTCTTTGTTTTATAACAATACCAGCTTTTATCGTGTATTTTGTATGACGCATTCGAAAACAAAGGAAGTTATTCAAGTGTGTAAAGAATGCATCACTGATATGTTCTTTAAACGTTTGAAGGTTTGTAATGACAACAGAGATAGAGCAGCACTGGAAACTATTTTTGTTTTTTGCCGAATGTCAATATACGAAACTTTTACTGTATGGTGAAATCGAGTAAATATTGGAAGAACGCCAAAGACAAACCAACACATTCACGAAAATGCACAATGCTATAAAACAAAGTAATGCAGGGAAAGGGGCTCAGGATGACGGGCAGCTTTCGCAAGGGTGCAAACCAGGTTGTACTAAAATGTTTATTGCTTCGTTCCTAATTTTCTCTTTTGTGGGGGAGCGGGGGGGGGGGGGGGGGTCTTTACGAAGGTTTTTTTTTATTATAAATTTTATAGATATATCTATTTTGCAGTAGAGGCACATCTCCATGCTGAATGTAATCTTGGTTAAACTCTTGCAAAGATCATGTGCAGGAGAAGCTCCGTCTTCAACACGAGCTTGCTGCCCTCGGTAGTGTTTTGGCTGCTCATACCCATGAGCCGCAGCAGTGATATTGTAGGCAGAAACCTCGCGCTGGAGACGGAGGTATATTGCCGATCTTATATTGCAACAGACAGTTCACAAATATTGAGTTCTTCAAAAACACTGAGGCATACCAAATTTGTTTTATTCTGCATTATGTTAGACGTGATGACTCTTATTCTAGCTGAAGAGTTGCCAGACTAGGTTAGCGTTTCCAATTAACCAAAGGTAACAGCAAAAAAGCTCCCTTTACAACATCCCGGATTAACTTTTTTTATGTAGTCCATTTCAGCCAACTATAGACGTTGTAGCCAGCCTCTAGCCTCTAATGGACCTTTTTCACATACCGACGGCATCAGGCGGTGGCTGCGCGAACTAAAAATCGAGGAAGGACCTACCTGGCGCTCCCAATCGATAATGGGAGCTACTCCACCAGTTTCTTCGCTCTCCGAGCTGCAGCGCGTGCCCAAAGCGAGTTTAAAGAGGGGAAAGAAAAACGCGACCCAAACGTCGTATTTTTCTTTCCGTCCACTTTAATTTTCCGTGTAACACAATTATATACATGCTGTATTTACGTGATCTACTCGCTGATCCACAGCCTCCTTCCGAATTTCCTCGATATTTTGTGCCGACTTCCGCCGCTTGGCATCGGGCGCTCGCGCATGCGCAAAGCGCTTCTCGGAAAAGGTCCATTGGTAGGATGGTCATCGTGAACATCGTGTGTCCTGTTACACAGAACTTTTACACTATTTTATTAACGTTGTAATATTATAAAATTTAAATTTTAAGTTAGATGCGAGCTATGACTCAGACGCTTTTACAACCCAATCAATTTTACAACGTTTTGCTAAGAAGAGATTTTGTCAGATTCATGGGGATGTTTTTACATAAAATTCTGGCATTTTCTTGTTGCGGACGCCAGTAACCTGAAGTCATAGTCACTCGACTCGTCATACAAAAAGACGCTGTGTTTGCTGCAGGCAGACATGACGACAGCATTATCTGCATACACGCCCGAGGCATGTTCCAAGCATGTTTGCTTCATACATCATGTCTGCAGATAGTTGTTGTATGACCAATCTTGCAGGACTGTTATGCAAAGAAGAAACACGCCTCAGAAAGTGTCCACAGAGCGTCTTTTGCGCGATGTACCGCCTGACTCGAGATGAATCGTTGGCTGTCTGAGTGGACCGCATCAATTGGTTTTTAAGTATCACGCTAGTATTTACCGCAGCAGTGGACTGAAGGTGGCGGACCTTGTGTTTCACGGGACCACGGTGTAAGAAATGCATTTAGGTGATGACTCTGGCCTATCTTCCCGTGGGAAGCGAGCGAAAAGATCGTGTTCGGAGCTAGCCTCGGACCAGGAGTAGGTAGTTCCGCGCCGCCGCGGAGGGCGCTGAGGTATGAGGTCCCTCCGGCGGCCACGGTGTCGGCGGCGTAGCGTGCTCGCCTTTTTCGCGGTATGGTGGTGGTGTGCGGTCAGTGGCTGGCCTCGTGTTTTGCTTTGGTGCTGTGTCGATCACAGGTGCCACCATCGTGCACGAAGGTGAGCCTTAACCCGAAGAAGAAGAAGGAAGAAAACACAGATTTACGGACTCCGACGATTTGGTGGTGACGTGGTGGCGATGAGGTGCAACAAGAAGCGGTGATCGAGGGAAGGCGGGACCACCGCTGAGAGAAACATCCGGAGCGGTCGGTTTGGGAGGGACCCGATACTTGAGCGTCATCTGTCCCCGTGCGAGTGAAGCGCTCGGTGCACTGGACATAATGTGGTCGCCGCGTTAGACAAAAAGTCATCACCTAAATGTATTTCTTCCACCGTGCACGGAACACACTTATACCTGAGCAATATGCTACGAGTCAAGAATTGGAAAATTTTTATCTACGGCGACTGCGTACTAATAATGGGCGTCTAATAGACTCGACAGTCGACAGATGGCGTCGACATATCAATGAAAGTGATATCTGTTTTTTTTTTTTTCTTGCTTTTTTTTTGGTTAGTATTTCTGTTTTATTAGTACGAATAAGAGAATCGTGCGCTGACAATTGGTGCGGAAACAAAGCGCATTGTTTCTCGCTCAGAATGGTCGTTTGCTATTGCCAAGATCGAGAGAAGCACCGAGGCAAGATTCACGAAACGACCTTACGACAAAAAATATGTGTACGACAAAGCCTAAAAACCAATTTGCATTTACGAAGTGAAATTATCGCAAGTTTTGCGTAAGTTACGGTGTAGTCCTATTACAGCTCCATAGGTGTCTTACTCACTTTTTTTTAAAGATCCAATCAACAGCATGGCCGACAGCGTCACTCAGTTACTTCGTCGCGACGACCAACGGACATTTATTTTCCAATATGCTCTTCACGCGCGTCCAGACTTTAAACAGCAAAAAAAAAAAAAAGGTACTTTAAACCGACCACGACGGAGATGAGCGCTGGATCCACTGATGTCAGTAAAAAAACTCCAACGGCAACGATCCCACCGACCAAGCTGCCGCCAAGGGCTAGCTCGGCACATTAGTCCTATAGCATGGTACTCCGACGCAGCGATGTCCTCATGGTCCCTGGACAAAACCGTCCATCCACGACTGGCTGACTTGCTGAATGGAATATGCCCGCGCGACCCTTATGGACACCTCTCGCATAAATAGTTTGATCGCTGATCTCAATTTTTGGTAATAGGTCATTCTTTTCCCCTTGTCATCCCCTTCTTTTGAGAGGCAGCGGCCAACGCTCTCGTCTAAAAGGGACTCCCTTATCGATTCTATCTCGTACGTTTGTTTGATATATAGAGCTGAAATAAACGCTGTTGGATTACCTTTGCAACATATGGTACGTACACTCTCTTTGTACGTCCTTTTTATTCCATTGAGACGGTACGTCAACACTGTCGAGCTAGAGCAGTTCGGGGGAGCTCCGCGATGACGGTGCAGCCTTTCTCTGCCAAGTGTCGTGTCAGCATTGAGTTGCAATCGTCTGGTGGACCAGCGCTTCATATTGTCGGTTGTAAAAGATCGGTCCCGAAGCGCTTACCAAGACACGGTCCAACAGCGCGGTTCCAACGCTGCAATCAAACACGAGCGTGCCCGCTTCCATGAACAGGTATCTACGTGGCTCTTGCTGTCACTTTCCTAGATCAAACGTATCTTCTTCGACGTCGGCCCGCTCCTGCATTCCCGAGGCCACAAAAAGCGCCGCGGCGATTTCTTTCCATGTGCGCCGCTTTGCAAACGAGCGGTGCGGGCCGTCTCCTTTTAGCAACGATAGTAGTTACGTTGACTTCATAGTGATCGAGTTCGTAGCAGTTGACGAAGGCTGTTATCCTGACCTCGGCACTCGTGCCTGTTTAAATCGTGGTAGCTTCGATATTTCAGTGCACGGACACGATATTCAAACAAGCATTGGCGGAAAGACCGCCTGCGTTTGTTATACCAAATCCACGTGCTCCGAACCATACCGAGCTCTCCGCCGAATGACTGTTCGTGTTGCCGAATATGTCGTCGGCATAGTAGCAGCCCGCCCTGGCGGGGATCGGGAGCTTGCTGGACACCGGAAGTTCTCGTTTTCCCGTACGAGAACGTCAATTTCCCCCTCTCGCTTAAAGGGGCGGTGCAACAATTTTCGGACTTCGGTCAAAGATTTCTGGAAGTTGCCCCCTGACACTTCTGAAGTAAAGAACAGAAAACCGATTTCGCCTGCGTGTCCTAGTTGTTGCGTAAAAAAAGATAAAGATTGGCATTTCGGGCACCCCTCAACTCACTCCCATTCTTCAGGGTCACACCTGGTCGCACTCCCAGTGACGTCATTCGGAGTGCCGTGTAGCTTCCCGTGTGCTATCTCGGAGGACGCTTCCCCTTCCTCTCTCTGCGTACATTAGCGAGCGCTATGCTGCAGCTTAAAGCCGAGCGAGGTCACGTAATCTTTCCGCCGTAGTTCCTTCGGCTGCCACTTGGGGCTGCAGGTGGGGGAAAAAGCTCGACTTTCGCTTTGCGATTATGCCGCGGAATCGCGACATTTCTAATAAAGGAAGTGTTTTCTCTATCCTCTGGGATACGATAAACAACGTAAAAATTACGAGATGCAAATTGTTTTAATCATAAAATCGTTGCACCGTCCCTTTAAGAACGCGTTCGTGAATACCGATTTCTCCACTTTTGATGATGTGCGTAACTTGAGAACTTAGCTAAGTATAGCCTAAGAAGCTCTTCGTGAATCTGTCATCAGTGTTGTGACTGCCTGCTATCTTACGTGCCGCCATCTGTCGGCTGTTACGCCTGTCGTTAGCAAACGGGCACTATGGTAGGAATTTCACGTTCTTGATTTCCGTTTACTCGGGTACGTTTGTTCAATGAAACTGTGATACACAAGATCCACCACCTTCAGGCACCTCTGTGGTAAATCCTTACGCGATGCGTTAAGAAGCCAATTTCTCCGTTTCCTTCGAACAGCCAACGATGCCTTTTACTCAGGTGGTATAAGCAGTGTGACAGGGACCAAATGCTTGGACAAGATTCGGTTCTCACGGGCCTGTTCTGCTCCCTGCAGCAGAGAACCTCGCGCACCGGCACGAGACCTGGGTGAACGACCGGCGCTACTCGTTCGCCCAGTGGACCGACGGTCACTCGTCGTTCGCCGTCGACGGAGACGCCAGCGCGAGCACGCCCCGGAGCTGCGCCATCCTGGACAACTACTTCGTGGACACGCCCGTGTGGATGGTCGACCTCGGCGAGCGTAAGCGCGTCCGCGGACTCGTGCTGCTCACCTGGCAGGGCAGGTCAGCACAGCACCACGGTGAGGCGTGCCAAGACACAAATAGCCTTAATTGCAGTTAGTGCGCAGGCGAGCTGGTGAAGGTTTACCAGGATGAATTTAACCAGAGACTGGGACAAAAGGAGGAAGCATTTTTACCGTGAAAACAAAAGTAACATTAATGGACCCAATTTCACGTTAAAATTGTCGTGACAAATGGCCTGCAAGGCATGTATACGGTTTGGATAGTACGCGGAGTGCACTGCTCTGGTCCTGTGGATCCCGTGCGGGTATTGGGAGCTCATCGCGGAATAAAACCTTGGGGCAAATCTAGGGCCCTAATTGGCCTATTTGAACGTTCCCCTCTTGTGCAATCAGCGGATGACTGTGACCCCTTTGCGCCCGTTGTTTGAATGAAGAGTCAGAGTAAACCGAGCAGCATTGACGCGATGTACTATGACGACCACGGAGGACGGCGGCGACACGATCGCTGGCAACATTCGCGGAAAAACCCGGTTTTGGGGTTGAAAACAACCAATCCCGCGTGGCGCACTACAAAGCGCCGTCCAATGGCAATAATTGTGCGTACAGGCAGATCAAAGATGCGGCCGGTTCCCATCCAGCCGGTCCCATAACTTCGTTTCATATTAAGTCCAGACGCAGCAGATAGAGCTAATGGTACCAATCAAGCAGCGTCAAATACGCAGGTCACTGGGACTTTTCTGTTTATGATTGGTTCAGCGATCATAGAACACACACACAAACATGACGAGCACCCGAATGGTGCGCTTTCGACACTGTCTGTTTGGTCCCATCAGCCCGTAGCGTCGGGGAGCGCATTCGTGAAGTGCCTCATAAAAGTCTAGTCATGGGCTCCGGATTCGTCCCTTGTTGTTACTCCGCGAGAAAACCCCAACAGGCGTCTCGTTGCCTTGCGCAGAGCGGAGCAAGGTGTACCACGAGATGTCCAACCTGGACAAGCTGACGGCTTACGTGGCCGACCGCCCGCGGCTCGAGGATATCCCGAGCGGCCACAAGTGCGCCTCGGTGTCGAGACTGAACAACGCCCTCTTCCGCAAGAAGATCCACCTCGAGTGCCCGGACTCCATGGAGGGCCGATACGTCTACATCAAAGCCAGCGGCATCCACAACCGCAAAGGACGTCTGTTCTCCGCCGTGCTCTGCGAGGTCATGGTCTACTGAGGTCCCGCTCATCGGGATCTACTGGTGAGCCGTCAGAATGGATTATACCATTTTCAAAAGTACGCGCTATCTAAACTCCGTTTAACGATAACTTGGCGAACTGTGGGTACTACGACCCCTGCGGCCCAATAAGAGCGTCGGAGCAAGTCACGTGATAACACTCCATGGTCGAGGCCACCGAAGTCATGTTACCGCCACAACAACAGCTTTCGAAGATGCCAGATGGACGTATGAAGGTACATGGAGAGAGAGAGAAAAATGACAAACATACTGCTGGACTAGCATCCATTTCCTGAAGATAGACCTCTTCTTCCACTTTCGTATCGCTAATTTTGTATTTCTATATTACGGAGGTAACTTTTCTTCGTTGGCCTCCCGGATCGTTGGACTTCGTTTTCATTCTTTAGGTTTTGTTTCCCGCATTGTTCTCTGCAGGTACAACTTTTTGGGGAGATGTAACACGATGAAAGCAGCGCCCCATTCTTCTTTCTCTCTTCGTGTACCTTCCTACGTTCAGGCGGCATCTTCATAAGCATCATTCACCATCTAGCTCAGCTACAAGCAGTCACAGCAAGAGCGCCGTCCGCGACAAAAAAGTAATTCTATAGGTTACTGGCGCGATTCGATCTAATATATAACAAAGTAAGGAATAAATATTGACGAATGTGCGAGTTTTGGTCATATTTAAACCAAAAACAAGTGACGCCCCATTTGTATCTACTCCCGGTATTTTTCCCCTCGTAGTATACCGTGGCCGTTAGCGATCGCAGCTGTGGTCAACCGCTTCCGCTCAAAACATCGCCATGGCATTAGCACCTGCAGCCTCAGACTCGCGGGCAAATTGAGCGTATGGTTGTCTCATGAACTGTTCCCGAAGTGCTCTCTACTATAGTGGACGGCAATGCTGCGGTGGCGCCCGCTCACCCGAAGTTGGTTGGTCTTGCAGCAGACGAATTTTGCCCAACAGACGACAGCCGCTTGCTGGGCGTGGTGGCACACACGCTCCCGTGACGCGGTGCCACGTGCCTCGCTCCGACGCTTTTATTGGGTCGCGGGAGGTCCTAGACTTCACAAGTTATCGTGAAACGTAGCAACTGCAGCCCCAAATGATCCGTAACCACCATTTTTTGGGAACTCCCTCTGAGCATGTATGGGACTCGATGGAGGCTTCAGCGTTCAGCGGGAACTCGGCTCAGCTCGTATCGAAAACGAGTGCTGCGTCAGCGTTAGGCAATGACTCGAATCCAATCACACGCTTCTTAATGGGTGAATGGACGCTAATGGCTGTAGTCTTTATATCGGACGATAGCTTGCACCACTTAGCCTAGAAGTTAAGAAACAAAAGTATACTTTCTTTCCTTCGCCAATTTGCTTACCCTCTGCAATTTTGTAACTAGCAACATGGGTGGCGGCCATTGCCCAAGCAATGGCGGCCACCAAAGTTGCTGGAAGGAGTTCTGAAAAGGGTCTATTTTTGGGTTGTGGAAACGCTCGTGCTATTCTTTGAACACTCTAAACAAAATGCGTCCTTTCAAACTCTCAGACACGGAGAAGTCGAACGCCAGATAAGAAAACACGAAATATTCGGGATTGTGTCATCTTTTCCGTTATTTTATTTGTCCGTGTCTCGGGGTTCATTACACGATACAACGTTTATCGATTCACCACACAGAAACATGTGGTGAAGGAGGCCGGAGAAAACGCTTCAGAAATGCAGCATGACGGAGCTACGGTCTACGGTGTGCACAATGAGACGCGTTTAGTAAAATGTGTGCATCTATGCGGCAAGAGCGAACGCAGCCGGGCGAAGTTCGTCGGTTATTTGCCGTATATATACTCTATGGAGCTCAGCCTTTGTAGTGCGGAGTTGCGGACTACATCAATGCACCTTAGAGAAGCCAGTGGCAGGTAGAGTAGACGTCCAAGTCAAAGTCAGCAGAAGCGGTGGTGCCTAGCCAATCAGACAGAGGCATGTAGGCGAGGGGGCTGGCAAAGAATTAGCTTTCACCAAGCAGTCGATGATCATAGCAGTAGGGTTAACCAGGAACAGACGACTTGCAAAGAAGCGCACGCTTAAGAAGACGTGTCGACTGCCGTCGCGGCTGCCAAGTGTGTTTCCTAACCAGAACGTTTGCTTTCGCTTCTTGTAAAACGTCTTCTTTCCCGCGAAACATTAATGAGAGCCTATAGGTGACATTCACTTGACGTCACTTGCTAGATTCGCTGGCATCGGCCACCACGGTCGCCATCATCGAGGTCTCTTTCTATCGCACCTGTAGGTGTCGGGTGTCGTCTGCAGCCGGACCTTTCAGCGTGGTTTAGTAACATTTTACACCTTTAAAGGGTATTTTCGACCGAAACTAGTGGTTATTCTTATACTTTGGTGCTTTTGAAGAGACGTAGGAATATTTTTTGTGTGTGTTTTAGTACGTTTTTGTCGCTATTAGCGGCGAGATGTTTGGGTGGCGCCCTCGTTTGGTTACCTCTCGTGACGTGACTACCCTGTGAACAACAAGTTCATGGTGTTTGTAATTAGCATGGTGGAAGCTTCAAATCATTGCGCTTTTAAACCAATACTGCCAACACCGTCAAAATCGAAGTTCTTACATTTGTCTTATTTCCGTCGATGAGGAATCCTTTGGTAACGTCATAGTCAGCATTCGGCTAATTGTGGCAAGTCGACCACAGCGACGCTCTCGATCGCGCACGTCGCCAATCGGACTCGTTCACTGCGACCACATTGCTCCCTCGGCTCAATGCAGCGCCCCGTGTCGCGCGCCGTGCCCACGGCGGTAGCTCTTGCACGAACTGATTTTTCTACTTTGGGTTTTTTGTATCACTGTGTGATTACTCTTTGTTTTGTTTTGCTAGTTTCTTTATTCTTTTTCTCTAGCGGATTTTCTGCACTACGGCCGTGTAACCGTGTTGCTCCATCGCCTCTGTGTCGTGCATACGTTGTGCCTTCGGTGTTCGCTCCTGTGCAGAAACATACCGTGCGGCTTACAGAGTGCGCAGCTTATGAAAAATGCGGCGCCTTTTTCATTAGCCTAAGCGATTTAAAAGCCGCATGTAAGCGATTTGGCTAGCGGCGAGACAAGCGACGGCGACCCGCTTCGCTGCCGCTCGGCCACTCGCGTGACGAGGCAAACCGCATGAAAGCGACGGGAGCAAACGACCAAGGCGATGAACGCTAAGTTTTCTAGACATTAGGGAGTTTTCGTAGACCGCGCTGCCCCCTCCGCTAAGCGTTCCGCAACGAAGCAGTTGCTACTGCGCCTGCGCGCCGATAGCCTTGACTGTGGAGTTCCCGCTATCGTAGCGGGTTGCGGAGGGCCTTGCGGGACGGCGAAAACGATCTACGAAAACTCCCTATTCCAAAACCAAGCTACGGGCGACAGTGAAAGGTGAACCGCGTGTAAGCGAATTAGCGAGCGACGGCGACAGCAGGGAGTTTTCGTAGACCGCGTTTCCCACTCCGGCCCTCCACAGCGAAGAAGCCGCTAAAGCGCCAGCGCGCCGATGGCCTTGACTGTAGAGTTCCGAGTAGCGTAGCGTGTTGCGGAGGGCTTTGCGGGACGGCGAAGGCGATCTAAGAAAACTCCCTAATGACCGGAGCAGGCGACGAGCGACGGAGATTTCTCACGGTCGTTCGTCGCGTCGCTCGGTTTTTGGATTCTAGAAAACGTAGCTTATCGCCTTGGTCGCTTGCTCCCGTCGCTTTCATGCGGTTTGCCTCGTCGGGCGAGTGACCAAGCGACAGCGAGGCGGGCCGTCTTCGCTTCTCTCGTCCCGTCGCTCAGTAAATTGCTTACATGCGGTTCAGCCTTTACACACGGTACTCGGCGGCAACAAGGAAAACGGCCCGCCCCCGAGATCAACTTTTCTTCTCTCTTCTGTTCAACGAAGCTTCTTCAACAATATGAAATTTGCACAGACTGGCAACGGACGACCGAGTACCCAAGCCAGTCAAACCGCGACCTCGAAGATGGCAGATCGACGGTGGCGCTCCCTGGCAAAATCGAACCTGCAGGCTCAGTGAATACCACCTATTGCTACAATCAAGAAAGGGAGCTCGGCAAACGATGAGGCTGAAAATAAGCTTAGATCTAACAAACAGGTTTACTGTGTACACAATACTGTCACAAGTTTTAGGCGTGACAACGTCTACGTGCCAAGTTTAGCGAAATGAAACGGATTATCAGATGTAACAGATTTATTTAATGCAGGGTTGGGCAGTGTCGCGATACAAATATATCGCGATAGTATTTCAGGAATACATTTTGTATCTGTATTTCTGTATCGCGATACATTTTTTTCACCAGTATCTGTATTCCTGTATCGAAATACATTTTGAATGTTCCTTTGTATCGCGATACAATCAGGGCAAAATGTATTTCGTTACATTTCTTGAGAAATACTCCCCCCCCCCCCCCCCCCCCCAAAAAAAAAAAAAGAATCCGAACGTATTTATTTATTTATTTATTTATTTATTTTTACTTCTGAGGGAACCAGGGTCAGGGAGATGCTTGGGCATTGTTTCCATGCTGACCAAGGTTACTTCCGACTCTCCAAACTATTTTTCTATGCGTCCTCTTCCCTCTTCTGAGAAGTGTTGCGTAGTCGGAGACTCGAACCAGGTGGTGTGCAGGAGTGGAGTCAGAGCATCTTGTGCCGCAGGTTTTTAGGTAGGGGTTTCTTGATTCATTGTTTGCTGGCATTCAAAGCCCGCTGCTAACCGTCTCTCTTGCCTTATCGTACACACTACACCCAGCCGGCAAAGCTGAGTCACACACAGTCCGTTGCAGCACGAGCCTGGCGATGGTTGACTTGAAATAGTAGGATGACTCACGCAGTGAAGTTCAACACATACTCGAATGCATCTGCGGCTGCGCGCGTAATATTGCACGGCTCAAGGGTACGTCATCTGCCGACGTGAAAGTGACCTGCTGTTCTGGTGATCCAAACCCAGGAAGGAGGTCAGACGTGGCTTTTCTGTGCCG